GTAATATTTGGGGTCACAAGATTTTGCCATGAATATTTTGTGGGTCAGAAGATAAAAAGTTTGGGAACCACTGGTTTATACTATAGTGATTGAAGAGGCATCTTCTGTTTTAACTATTTAAACTTTGTTACTCACATGGTGATTGATCAGATGTCATGTAAGGAAGTTAGTAAAAAACTCTGTTACAAGAGTATCGTCATTGTTCTTTGCTACAAAAAGTTTTCTGTGTATTTTCAGTTGATAAGAATGGAGATGTATGCATTTCTATTTTGCACGAGCCTGGAGAGGATAAGTACGGCTATGAGAAACCTGAGGAGCGCTGGCTGCCCATCCACACAGTGGAGACCATCATGATTAGTGTTATCTCTATGCTGGCAGACCCAAATGGTGACTCACCAGCCAATGTGGACGCTGCAGTAAGTACTTCTTTTTTTTTCTTTCTTGTAAGTGAATGTGTACTTCTATCTAAAAATAAAATAACACCTATGTTTTACATATTAAAATTCAAGTAATTACAGTCAATGAAAAAATATTAGTTTGAAACATATGGGTAAATGTTTTGGAAAGCAACTAAAATGTCTTTATATTTTTTCCCGCTGTGCAGAAAGAGTGGAGGGAAGACAGACACGGAGCATTCAAAAGGAAAGTTGCTCGTTGTGTACGAAAAAGCCAAGAGACTGCGTTTGAGTGATATTTATCAAGTCTTGCTTCATTGATGTTTTCAGGGCAAGTATATTTGACTGTTTCTCTTTTCAAACTGCATGTGTCCAACCTTGTCTGGTCATTAGGAGCTCCTTGTGCTGCTGGGTGTATTTGATAAAAGGGCTTCAATATGAGATAAATATCAGTTGATGTTTGAAGTGGTGACTGCTCTCACTGCTTCTGAACACTTTTARTCCTTGAGTTTGTTGTGTTTTCCTTCAGGTCTCCAGTTTGAAAATCCAAGCGGCCCTGTTTCCTGCACTCTTCCACCCTGACGCCAGGCTCGCCCTCCTTCATTTTGGCTGGAACAGACTGACTCCTGTAGGATGCAATATAACATGACAGTGACASAAACTCTCCAAGCAAAGTGCCAACTCACACAGACAAACCCCCCCAGAAGATGTTAAAACATTTTTTTTTTGAGTTTATGAACTTCTTCAACATTCAGGATGATATTGTAAAGACATGTATATAGCACAGACTTAACGGATAATATATTCGCTCCTTTTTCCATCCATCAAGACATTTAGACCAAATATCTAGTTCTGGTTTGAATAGATTTGTTCCTTCTCTAAGCTGCAGGAAGCGTTAGCTCTTAGCTTTCACAGGAGGTCTTAAAGAGAACCACTCAGTGCTGTTGGAGGAAATGTCACCTGTGAAGACTTCAGGACTTTGGTGACATCCCTGAGGAACCCCATCAGACGCTGTAACCCTCCCAGAGCCCTGAATGATTCTGTCTTTCATCAGTTTGAAGTCTTACCATCCTGCTCCGTTGACTTGAATTATACCCATGGATTATTTTTTGCATGCAGCATTTTTTTTTCCCTTTTCCTTTGGTTTTTTCAAAAGTGCCTCCTAATAAACTGCTTGGCCACTTCGTTCTGCATTACCAGGTGTTTAAAATGGTGAAAAACATGGAGAAATTGTATGGTTTTAAAGTATATCCAGTATGCAGGGGTTCAGTATATTTAGAGTATTGGTAAGAGTTTTCTGTAGCAATAAGCCTCCCCAGTGTTCAGCATAAATGCTAAGTTTTTAATATGATACAAAATTTGAGATCCTCTGAATTTTAGCAACTTTTCCCCTCGTTTCTTTTGTTTTATGTAGGGATTGTTATGCATGCTTTTTGTTTTGTTTTCAAAAGTTTGTCCGCAGTACGAGTGCTCATTTTGTTTTTTCTTTTTGACATTTTTTATTCTCAGTCTCATGATCCTGCCCTTCAATCTAATGCAGTTTGGCCCGATGTACAAAGATCAAATACTGATGTATATTTTTCATGTTTTCAAACCTGTCACCTGTAGTGCGTTCTTCTAAAACATGACCTTTTTTTCAATATTTTATGTGTTTTTAATTCAGCAAACGATGAACGCTGCAGAACTCTGACAAACTCACTTTACAGTATTTCTGCATTAAATATACCAAACGTCTGAGGCCACTTTTCTATAGTTACAATTTAAATTTGGGCGTCAGTCATGCAGACAAAATAAAATATTTCTTTTATTTTAATTTACTTTCAGCTCAAGTAATTTTTACATTTAAAAGGAACAGTTTGAGCTTAGATATGCACTCAGACATGAATAAGTTGATATTTTTGTGGAGCTGGATGATTGTACTGTTTTAGAGTTGTGTATRTGGATGAATTTATTTTGTACTTTCCTGAAACACCAGGGTCAAGTTCAGATTGGTCAGAAAATATGTTTCGGATAAAACAGCTAGTTTACATCAAGGTRATATTCTTTAGACATTTTTGTTGATTTTGTTTCTGCCATTTTTTAAAGAAGTCGACTTGTTTCTGTGGAACAACCTGAGGACTTTTTCTCCACSCCACAGCCAGCTGCTGTGGAGGTTTTAGTGTCATTATTAGAGTTGTGTATTGGTAAGAGTTTGGCGATATGATACATATAACAGAGGGGTCACGATACGATATATCCCGATATATTGCGATACTGTAAGCAAGGCAATATATTGCGATTTTTTTGTCCAAAAATTCTATTAAATAAAAACCTCTTACTGAAAAATAAAGCTAATGTTTTCTCACAATGCTAATGCTACCCTTACTCTCTGGCGCTCAAGAGTTAGAGGAGCCAAATGTCTGGCTCACTGCTGCCAACTAGTGGTCAGAGGCTGAACTACAACATAAAAATGAACGGCTGGCAGGAAAGTAGACATTTAACCTTAATAAAAAATCGACACAGGGCTTTAGAATATCGATACAGTATCAGGAAAATGAAATATCGCGATATTTTAGTGTATCGATATTTTCTTACACCCCTAGTCATTATCCTGCTGGAATATTTTTGAGTTCAGGTTTTAGGTGCCCAGCAGGTTTGAGATTATTTTTGAAGAAATTAGTATCATTCATGCTTCACACAGCTCAAACAGCCCCACATTATAATGCTACCACCACCATGTGTTTTAAAACCTTGTTTTACAAAACATACCTCTGGTTAATGCTGCTGAACAACTCGGCTTTTCTTATCTGAATGATAAGTTTTCTCTCTGATTAAAAGATGATGGCCATGTAAAATCTGTCCCAGTTTTTTTTTTTTTTTTTATAATTTATGAAAATCAATTTGATATTTAAAATATAAAGTTCTCCATTCTTAACTCATTAAATCAGCTATTTGTGACTGCTGGTCACTGTTATACAATGAAGTGAGCAAACCTTGAAGCATCATCCTGTGGAGTGTTGATTCTTGACCTTGGATTTATTTCAGAAAATTGCAAAATAAAATTAAACGCGTGCACCAAGTTTTGGAGATTTTCACTGTAAAAACAGGTTATCTAAGAGCAGTTTAAAGACCGTTGAAAAGACCAAAGTTTATATCTCATATTACCTCATTATAGGTTTTCTTTTCAAGTTTAAGCACTGTATCTAATGCTATTTGTTTGTATGTGCAGCGAGATGATAACAAAGTGCATTAATCCACGATAACGCTAATCTAACGACATAAGGTCGTGATAAACTTTCAAATAACGAGCTTTTTGTGGGACACTTGAACGCAGCATCACCGCGCTCCGCTTCAACATATCGCGAGATTACACACCACAGAGGTARCGTTGAAGCAACATGGCGGAAGGTATGAGATTTTATTTTCCTCCCTYAACTGTTTTACACACGCCCTTTAATTTTGTTTATTTCTTTTAAATGTCGCACTAAAGCAGATGCAGTTTTGTCAGCTCTAGAAGCGAGAATTACTACGAAACAACGCGATACTTTGTCACAATTTGTCGCTAGCTTCCGAATCTCATCGCTACGAGTTGGTAAAACTGGACCAAAATATTCAGTAAAATATCACGAGGAAGACGAGTTAYTTGCCTCTCAGTTAAAAAGAAACACTTGATATGAAGCTGTTGGATAATATTTGCTTTAATTATTGCCTAAAGGTAAATGTGACGTCACTGTTAGTGTTGGACCAGGCTTTAAACAGGTGAGTGTCAGGAGAATTAGCTGTCACTCCCTGAATGGGTTCATCTCCACCTCAGACACAGTTAGATCAGCTGCACAAATCACTGTTTTTAAAGCTTTGGTTGAACATGAGGAGGGACATTACATCCTTTCTGTCCCTACATGTAAAAAAAAACACACAAGTTTTTTTATCCCCATCAGCAAATAGTCCAACATGCCCTCTTCCTGTGTTTGAATCAGGTGGTTATCATCAACTTTCTGTTCCTCATGACCACAGCCTCTGCCAGTGACAGTTTATGATATACGCTGCCTCAGCGTTTCTGCTTCACTAAAACTTTACAGGCTCAAAGGAAGGAAACGGGCCTCAGACAAGTCCTGCAAACACTTGGGCTGAGAGAGGAAGGAGATTTGTAACAAACTTATGGAGACAGAAAGATGTTTTGTTGTGGTTAATTTGAACCTCATACAAGGATTATTGTGAACACAAAYATAATTTCTGACATCTTAGAGCCTAAAATCCACAGATTGTCGGTTTGAACGGCTCTTTAAGCTGCATCCTCAGTGTCCTCCAGTGTTTCTAACCTGTGCTTCTTGTATTTGTTTCCCTCCTCCTCCTCCTCCTCACCCTGACGTGGCACAGACGAGGTGGCCAAGCTGCAGAAGCACCTGGCCCTGCTGAGGCAGGAGTACGTGAAGATGCAGCAGAAGCTGGCCGACACGGAGCGGCGCTGCGCCGTGCTGGCCGCTCAGACCGCCGGTCCTACGAGCTCTGCAGCTGCAGACACCTTCGTTAGCCGGCTGCTGGACTTTGTGGCTAACCTCTACCAACAAAACCACTACAGGTGATGGTCACGCTTACAATTTTTAACACGTTTTTAACAGTTTGAATCTTTCCAGCCTCACTAAGGATGTCGAATATTTGACACTGTTTTCTTATTGAGTGTGTTGTTGTTTCAGTGATCTGAAAGTAAAAGTTGCAGGGGAACAATATTTTGCCCATAAGTTTGTGCTGGCTGCTCGCAGTGACGTCTGGAGTCTGACCAACCTCGCCTCAACCTCKGAGCTGGACCTGACTGGTGAGCAACCCTTAAACTCAATATTCAACTTGTTTTATTCTGGCTTTCTTACACWTTTTTATTATTAAAGAAATATATTCATTTCATTGAAAACAAAACAAATATGTACAATAGAAAATAAAAACATAAATCAAACAAACAAAAGAAGAAAAATATCTAATATATCTGCCCCTTTTATCCCAAAAATATATTCAAACATTAGTAATTTACAAAATAAATAAAAAAATAAGCCAAGCTGATTGGTCTGATTCATAACACAGATGGATACTGATCCAAAACATAAAGCCAAAACAACCCTGGAGTTTATTAAAGCAAAGAAGTGGGATTTTCTTCAATGGTCAAATCAGTCACCTGATCTCAACCCAACAGCCTGTATGTCACAGACATCCAGTCCAGCACTGGATGCCACTCCCAACACTTCCAGTTCACGGTCAACACTGTGTTAGTGAAAGATTTTTTCACCGGACAACGATTCTTAATGACCTCCACAGTACAGAATTATCATATTA